ACTTCGTATAACTTGTCAATTTTGTAAATTAGTTACTGGTTGACAGGTTTTTCTACGTGAGGTGAGTCACATGTGTAGAGATAGTTTCTTCAACCTTTAAGCGCTATTTCTTTAACCAGTCCTTGGAGCCAATTTCTCTTGAGACTTTGCGATACCGCTTATGCATTTTTAGTGGATGCCAAAATAGTCGTATCATCTGCAACGCATGCATCACAGCTCCAGTTTGCAGACCTCCAATTTACACAGGTCCTGAAACACTTCCTTGCGGGACCGCTGAACCAAAAGGATCACTGGTTGTGGAGTCAATGCCGTGCTCTCAAAAAAATAGGCATACTGACATCAGGCCAAGGTAGAGATGGATTGGAGAGAAGGAAACTGGTAACTGTCTCCTTGCTATTGTTATCGCTGTCTTGGAACAGAGTATGGTATCATTTCAAAAACACTAATCGATAAGGAGCACCTGAATATATCCCTTTTTGAGCTTTATTTCAGACCATCGGTACCCTATGTGAGTGCAACTGTCAAATATATTAGAATGCTATTTTTGCAAAGTTGGTACTGTGCATTAGCTGCCAACGGCTTGCACTAGTTACCTGTGTTGCCCAATTTGACATTGCGATTCTACTTCGGAGGAGACGCCTGCTTTGTTGACCCCATTGTAACTTTTACAGCTAAATCATATACCTTTCCTCCAGCGAAATCACTGACACTGACTCAAAATTGATGCGCAAGTAAGCAGCTAAATACGATTCTTATATCCGGTCGTATTTTCTTCACCACATCTTGTTCTTTTCCATATAGTATGCTACGATCCAGAGACCCACAAACCATGCGGATTGCAGTTGTTCAGACAAATATCAGCAAAATGGGCATTGTACTATTGCTTCATAGATGGCGGTCTAGGCGTGACCCTAGTGCGAATTTTGCCACTTTCATATTACAATTTTTTACGTACCTAACGATCTTATAGTGTTCTACTAGTGTTCTACTGTCTTGTATACTCATTAGTTCAGATCCCTTAACTCCGCCTGTGATGTGCAGCTCTGTAGATATATCCTCACTCACGGACGTTGATCCCTGTACGAACCAAGAAAACTTTAAACAAACTGCCCGGAATAAATTTGTTTAATCCAGGATGGTTGCTGCAGTCCGGAACATATATGTCGATCTCCTTACATTCGCAATATTAGATGTGAGCCTAGAAATATTGCAGCATTTGCTTTGATGCTCCGGAAAATTTGCATTTCCACGTCACGTATCTCCATGAGCTAGCGGCTTTGCTAAGTTATATTTTTACATCTAAACGTACGACCTATACTCTTTTTTTGTACTTGCTACCACGCAGGGTTTAGCCTAAATTCGCTTACGTACCGTGGGGCTATTGGGATGTACGAGCCGCTTCCCACTTCAGTTGGCCCAACTATTGAAATCTTAGTTTTTTTCTTATCAAACAAATAATAAAAATGTAGCAGGATGTTATAGGTTTAAAATATTAACAATGAATATTTTGATGATATATACTAGAAAACACCAACTTTATCACTCCCTAATCAAATTTGCGGCATAAAAATAACACATGTTGCAATTACAGCATATCAACCTATTTTCATTTCAATGCAAAATAAGTCTATAACGCATAGGCGGCTGTGAAAAATAAACGCCACGACAATTTTTTTATTAATCACAGAATACGTTTAAAATATTTTTTGGTAGTTAAGGTTTTCAAAATGGGTAGAGGAAAGGTTATTAGTGAGAAAATTCGGTTACTGATAATTAAATGTCTTAATGCTGGGAAATCAAACTCTGAAATTGCAACTTTGTTAGACTTATCGCGGTACAGTGTGAGAAATATTGTTAGAAGATATAACGTAATTGGTTCAGTTAATATTAAGCCACGATATGTGAAAAAAGTAATATCACAAATGCTGACTGAAAAGCATTAAGAAGAATAATCGTGAAAAACAGGCGAGCCACTTATTTACAATTAAGTTCTCTGTGAAGTGATGCTGTTGCAAGAAGAATTTCGAGGTCCACAACTCATAGAGAGGCCCACAAACTGGGATTTAGCACTTGCGAGGTAAGTTTTCTTATAAAAAAAAGTGAAGTAAAAACCCTAAAGAAACCCCAAAAGAAAAGCCACTATTAACTCCACTGCAAAAGAAAAATCGGTAAAGAACATAGACAAGGGACACCTCAACAATGATGTGCAATACAATGGAGTGATGAGGCCCGATTCGAAGTTTGTGTTGGTGACAGCCGCAGTAGAGTTATTCGCCAAAAAAATGAAGCATTCCATGTTGACTGTCTGAAGAGGAAAGTGAAATTTCCAGCATCCATTATGGTCTGGGGCAGTATGTAATCAAAAGGAGTAGGAACACTTCATTTTATTGATGGAAATGTAGATACAAACAAATATTTGGCAATTGTAGAAGAATCGCTTTTACGAGTGATGGAAGAATGTTTGACATCCGGCCAAGATTTTGTGTTTCAGCAAGATGGTGCAGCGTGCCATACCTCAAAAAAGGCTATCAAATGGATGGAAGAAAATAATGTACCACTTTTGAAATGGGTTTCTAGCAGATCTGTCACCTATTGAAACTTTGTGGCACGAGATGAAAAAGGTTCTACGACAACATCCTGCTCGTACAATCACCGAACTGAGGCAAAAGATTCAAGAAATATGGGATTGTTTTACACCAAACTTTTTCCAAAACTTGGTTGACACTATGTCCCAAAGAATTTCAGCCGTAATAAAAAATAAAGGTGATGTTACCCAACGGTAATCTGTCAATTATTGTTGCGTTGTTAACTTCGTCCATTTAGTCGCACATTGTTTATTTGTTCAAATGTTCTATTAGTTATAGGTCTATGTGATTTCAGATATGTACTTTTCACGACTAGATTGTATCTAAACTGTTTTTGAGAAAATAAATTGTTTTAGAAGTAAATAGTTTCGTCATGTTTAGTTTATAAGGGCATATTTTGGTACAAATCTTGAAGTGGGCCAACTGAAGTGGGAAGGGGCTCGTACAACTCACAGCTTAGACCTCCGGTAATGCCATCTCTGAAGCTCATCAGAGCCAAATATTGATAGCTGAAGCATTATGACGTTTAGACAACACGTACGGCTACCGAACGAGTACACATCAAGTGTAGAACAGCTAGTGCTAAGTTGACATATTGTCACACAAAGCCTATATAATGTCAAAAAAACCGACATAATGTCACTTTCCAAGATACAAACATATTACCTTCGCTAGAGACAAAAAATGAATCAATCGGTGACCTCTAACATGATCTAGATAATGTCTGTTTGGTTTTAAACATGTGCATAGTATTTCTCTGTTATTGGATATTGTATCTATTGAGAAATATATATGAATAAAATAAAATAATGACCCCAGAGGTCGTTTACAGCTGAACATCGTACACTCAAATTGCAGCTACCATTGGTTTTCAAACAGGATTCAAACAAAAGCTTCAGGAAACCTAAAAGGGAAATGATCGATCAGCTCAGACATGGCCCAAATCTCAGAGGTCATTTGGAACCGGAATAGCAACTATGATCTTTGATAGCACTTTAACCTACTGATTTTTCCACTTGGCCTCATGTATGAAAATGAATTCCTATGTAGAATCTTGTGCTGATTGTGAATCTGGTGTCAAAAATGGTGGATGCCATTTGCATTTACGAATATCCAGGAACTTAGGAATGTTTCGAATATGGCGTTAAGTAGTGTTTCCTCGAATTGTACACAAGTACACTCTTTCTATAACCAGAATGGTTTAGCTTTTTCTTTATTATAGTAGTAAAATCCACACATACACAGTATTGTTTATACGAATGTGCTGCGTAGGCAGAAAAAAATACCAAGCTACCACAACTACTATCAGGAGATTGATTTTAGAACTGCAGTTGACATTGACATTAATTGGGTATACCCCCTTTGAGCGGTATTGAAAATAGCGGAAGCAGCAACACCCCCAAACATGTAACCAGTATTTGAGGCTGGGTCCTATCTGGGCCTTGTACAGATTGAAAAAGTTACGTGGAGAGAAGATAAGTACACCCAAGCGATTGACGAGATAGGCTGGTGGTCAAATTCTCATCATGACAGGATGGACATTAAGGCGCTTTCTGTAAGTCAGTACTGTATTTTGGAGGCATTAAACAGGACAGACAGCCGCTACAAGTCGGTCGATGCAACAAATTATTATTCCTTGATTTTATAGGCACTGTAAACTTTGATCGAATAGTAATTATTAACGTTTGTGAGTGGAAATTAAATTTTCATAACATAAATACTGCCCCGCAGCAAAACAGATATGTTGAAATATGTACAGAGTGTATATTATATTTATGAATATTTACTTATGATTGCTAGTAATTAGTAATTATTCATGCACCTGATATGCGGTGTTGATACCAATGCGAGCTGTTTTTTTGAATGAGACCAATTTGATTTGAACAGAATGTACGAGGTGTCCGACTATAAATTGTTCTCCCTCTATCCCTCTCTATCTGACCGTCCAGAAAAAAGTAGCTTTATGTAAAGCTATACGGTCTAATATGAAGTTCTTCATGTAATATTCTTTTGTGTATAGGGTATCTCAGGAAAGTGCTATCAGTTAAAGTTGTATTTTGTTGAGTTAAACACCCTATACATTTTTAGGGAAAATGATAGTCCCTTTTTTTTCTGATTCAAAATATATATGGCGGAGTAGATAATGCAAATCAGTGCGAAAATATTTTGTATATGATGCGTAATTAATAATTTTTTTTGCGATGTGTCTTTATTACACAGAACGTGGGCGCGGTGCTGATTTCCGGTAATGCTTCTCAAAGTTTTTGAAAATGCAAAAAAGAGGAAAATCGTAATTTTTTTTTATACTCCAACTACCACGAAGGCCTAAGGCCTAAGCACCCATTGGGTACCGTGGGGCTATAGGGGGATACATGGGAAAGGGGGGACGCCACACGGACTCTGGCGAGGGAACACGTGTGCATGCAACATGCACACATTCTGGCTCCGCCTACGAGAACCGCCGGGTGGTACCTCCGCGTTCGACAGTCAGAGACCATCTACCACCTACGGACAATCACAACATCCATAGCCAAGAGAAAAATTTCTCCTGGGACGGGACTCGAACCCGCACAGCGCACGGCGACTGATCAGGAGACCGAAGAGTCTACTACTGCGGCCACCGCTGCTGCCTAAAACAAACACACAACATCCATGGCGAAGGCGAGATTCGAACTCGCGGCCCGACCGGCCGGCTGATCAGTAGCACGACACTCTGACCCACGCGGCCAACCGAGGTCCCATGTATAACTTTGGACATAATCTCTCTTCAGAAAAGACAACACAAATAACCCGTCTGGCACAGCTAGTAGATATATTTGTATTTCATGGGCATCTTGCTACTCTGCTACTCAACTACACGTCTTCTCAGAGAGTATCACGGCACGCTGCAGCCAGCAAAACATGATGGGGAACTGACTTGCAGCTTGCAGCATGGTCATTGAGCATGTCTTGTCGTTGAGTCATTCCTCCATAGATGGACGCTCACAGTGCTTATAGCGAGCAAACCCTAAATGTACTATTTGCACACTAGGAACTATCTAGGCAGAAAGTTGAAATTTAGTCGGCTTTTTTTTGACGTTTTATAGATTTGTTACGTAATGATCCTGCTGAAGCTCGGAAAAAATATCTGGTTGCGAAGTTTCCGGAGCGCTAGTGCAGCCAGATGTTACAACTTGACATACTGATTTGACTACCTACTCGTATAACCATCTGAACTCATGTATAGAAATTGATTCCTATGCGGAATTAAGTAGTGATTACGAAGCTGCTATCAAAAGAGAATTTATGAAGTTGACTTGCTAATAACCCCTGATGTCACTATTCAGTTTATTTTCGTGGTCATAAATACATTCCTTTTTTGGTCTCCTGATACTTTCGTGGACACTTTTTTAAAAAAATGTAGTTTTTGAGTATAATCTAAAATAGAAACGATGCACGTGTCAATTACTCAATTCCTCACATCAATATCGATATTTGGCTTCCTTGTAGTTATGGGATCCAACATCGCAAGAGCTGCTTTTGATTAACATAGGAGAGCGTTGCTGTAACACCATACTGACAGTCTCTTGTTAGGCATTTATTATACAGGGTACTATAAAAGTTTTGCAATACAGCTTCACTTATTGACGTCGTTCACAGTAATTTCCACCACATTCAAAGCACTGGTCCATCCGCCATAGTTCAAGAAGGTACTCATTGCTAGAAAACCGTTTACCTTTTAGCTTCATTTTCACATGCGGAAACAGTGCAAAGTCGCAGGGAGCAAGATCTGGACTGTAAGGTGCTCAATAAGTTTCAGTCCAGTAGTGGTTAAATACTGGGTGCAGGCCTTTTGGCGGTGAGCTGGAGCGTTGTCATGATGGAGGTACCAAGTGTCCATTCTTGACTTTGGCCGCAGGTTTTTCATAGACTCTATGACTTTAGGCACTGTTCCGTGTACTACTTAGCTGTGACTGTCTTCTGTGTGTCCAAAACGACACGCTTCACAATTCAGCTCAATTTGAAAAATACAGCTATCATTTTTTTCATAACAGATCGCGGTTTTCTGACAGCTACGGATGTGTCCTCATGATCAAAGACCCAAACTTTGTTTTGAGCCTTGGTCGACACATCGTAATAATAGAACCAAGTCTCCTCACCTGTCACGATGCTGTTCACATACCGAGATGGCCCCTTATCAAACAGTTCCAGCATCTTTCGGCACCAGGTCGTACGACTAGCCTCCTGCTCTTCAGACCAGGCGGTACCCAGACAGAACAAAGTTTCCTTAAGTGTAAATGAGCATGCAGAATTGAATGAAATTTCTGGTGCATTAAGGTGTCCTCTATCTATTGGTATGTCACCCTCCGGTCTTCGTCAAGCATTTTCCTTCCTCTCTGCGTCTTCCAGAGTGAAATTGCCCCTTTAGAGTTCCTGAACTACCTGAATATATTCGTACGATGAGGACAATCATTCTTTAATGCAAGCGTCATTTCTTTGAATCACTGGTCTAAACTACCGGTAAGTTTATACCGTAAAACTGCCATTATCTCACTACGTGACCACTATGCTATAGTCCGCACTTTACACTGTCAATACGAATGAATAACTAAATCAACAGACGTGCTGCTGGCGGCTACTATGGACTCATGTATACGTACATGTCTCAACATGCCAGTAGCATGCAGCCTCCTGCGTCCGTTTGTTAAGTCATATTGCAAAACTTTTATAGTACTCTGTATAAGTTTATGTTTCCATATTACATTTCTGTCGCGGACGGTGTAGGAGATACAGCCAGCACTCTTTATAAATAGCACGCCCTGTACATGTGTGCATGTCCCGAGGCATCGTAAACTACTTATTCGAAGATATATTTGTGAGACGGAGGCAGTATCTGTACAGTTCGACAAAAGGAAAGAAGCCAAATCGACGAGAATAAAGTAATAACACAGAATAGATACATATCCCAGTCCATCACGCTGACGGTTCCAGAAATTCAATAAGCAGCCGTTCGGTTGCGCGAAGACGAATGTGAGCTTAGTCTCCCTCTTTCAATATATATTGCTCTTCAAAATGTTTTCTTCTCCCTTGCATTCATTTCACTGCATCAACTTTGCTGGGGCCGCAGACGTGCTCCATTTTTACTGTAGCTTTGAATAATTACACTGAATCAAACATAAACGTGCACGCGCATTGAGAAGCGACGCGAAGGGAACCGCTCAGACTTTGCCTCCGGTCGCGTCGCTCTGGTATGTGAGCTGTCATTTGATTGTGTGTAACACGTTATTTGTCTTAATCTTCAGATTTTGGGATATGCTCAATGTGTTCAATGACGCACTTTTTTCAAAAAGCCGATGTCTTCTTCAAGGCTACAAAAAGCAAAAAATAAATTTCGACAAAGCACAAAAATACGAAATGAAATTATTACTTAGAAAACATCAAAATAAACAAAATTGATGAAAACAATAGCAAACTTAAACAAATAAAAAACATACTACGGTGGAAGCACATAAAAATATCAAGCTTGCAAGTAATGGAATATAATAATAATAATAATAATAATAATAATAATAATAATAATAAATGACTTTATTGAATAAAACAAATAAACTTTTTACAAAAGTAATTTAGAAAAAAAATACAGAATACATTGCCTAATAATGTCTAGCTTAAAGCTACTCAACTGAACCAAAATAAGACAAAAAAAAAATAATAATAGTAATAACTCTTAAACAACAATACAGAATAATCATAATAATAATCATGTGTTAACACTAAATGGACTGGCAGATCCAAAACGGCATTTTTGAATCCGTCAACTGCTTCTTCTGGTGACTGGAACCTTTGACCACGCAGTCTGTTTTTAATTTTCGGGAAAGTAAAGAAATCGTTAGGACTTAGATCGGGACTATATGGAGGATGGTCCAATAATTCCAAGGTTTCTTCCGTTAAATACTGCCTTGTTTTTTGGGCTGTGTGCGAGCTTGCATTGTCTTGGTGGAGGATGATTCTCCTTTCGTGGTTGATTTTTCGAAGCTCGGTAATGACTTTTGGCAAACAAGTGGTATACTAATCCGCAGTAACAGTTCCTTGCTCATTAAGAGGAATTGTTGCAATATGACCCGCTTTTGACACAAATGTCGCACCCATCTTTTTCGAAACACTTCGAGAACGGATGACTTTTTTGGCTTTTCTTTACCTTGGAACACCCAAACAGCCGACTGTCGTTTATTTTCTGGTTCGTAACAGTAAATCCACGATTCTTCACCACTAACAATGCTGTACATATTTTTTGAGTTTGCGGAATGGAAACGGTCAAGCGTTTTTTGACACCAATTAACCCTGGCTGCTTTCTGCTCTTCAGTCAACAGGTGGGGTATCCAACAAGAAACTAATTTTCTTACTCCCAATTCTTCATGTAAATTTTTTTAAATTGAGGTCTTTGAAATCTTCGTGATATTTCACATGTCTATCTTCAATGATGAGTTTGCGCACAGCAGTGACGTTTCCCTGGGTGACTGCCGTTTTTGGTGCACCCACCCTGGGATCGTCGCTAAGACTCACCCGTACACGTTTGAATTCTTCATACCATGGGAAATTGTCGACTGATGTGGCGCTTTGTTGCCGAAAACAGACAGTAACTCAGCAAGGCTTTCTTGTTGCGATAATTGCTTCTGAAGGTTGTAATAAATTATGGGTCGAAAATGTGCTCGGTTGAGTTCCATTTTTCTAATTACTTGGTGACACTTAAAAATTCACTGTAGTGAGAACACTGCACGTATTGTTGTGAAACCTCAAATTTAAGTTCACTAAAGAGTGAGGTTACTATGTTTCTATATGCAAAACTTAAAAGACATCCCTCGTATACCGAGATTTTTTGTACTTTCATTATATTGAGATTAGCTTTCAAAAATCCAGTCTTAGATTTGTTACCAAAAATCATTACATGCGATTTTTCCGGATTAAGTTTTAAGTTGTGACCTAATGAGAGATTGTTCAAGGTGTTAATGTCCTCATTTATACAATTTTCGTAATATTTGTAATCCTCAATATCAAAAAAACAATAAACCAGGATGTCATCCGCGAAGACCTGAACTTTACAGAAGTTTAAAGACGTAAGGATATCAGATGTATAAATTAAAAATAACAAGGGGCCCAATATTGATCCCTGAGGAACTCCCGATGGGATCTCCGCTTTGTATGAGAATGTGTCATTTGATAGCATCGATTGATACCTTCCTGTCAAATATGATTTTAAAAGCAAACATGCTTCCTTATTAAAGCCATAGTACTGGAGTTTAGCTACCAACAATTCATGATTAATGGTACCAAAAGCTTTTGAAAAGTCTAGAAGTACCAAAACAGAACTCATCTTTTTATCATTTGCTCTTAATATGTCATCGAGTATGTTTGTTAGAGCCACTGATGTACCAAAATTTTTACGAAAACCACACTGAGTACCAGGAATAATATTGTTACTCATACAAAAATCATAAATTTGTTCGTACAGCAAGCACTCTTTCAAATATCTTTGATAAAGCAGGATGTACATTTATCACACGAAGTTCGTTGAAACTTGATGGAGTAGTTATTTTTGGTAATGGTTTTCCTATGGAGATTTTCCACTTGTCGGGAAAGTA